AGGTATTGGGCACCGACGAGGTGGGTGCAGAGGATGGGATTGGTTACCAGGACCAGTTCTCTCCGTCTGTTCCTTACCTTCTGGGTGGCCTTGGGCAATTCACCTGCCCCTGGGGGCCAACAAAGACCAGGACTAGGGGGCCTCCAAGGTCCCTCTCATGTCTCAGCTCTGGAGTTCCTTTGAGGCCCCTCCTAGCCTCTTCTGTGGGGGTGGGGGGGTGAGACCCTGGCAAAAGCATCTGGGCCACCACCCTGGGGGAACTTAACCGCATCTTGTGTTCACCTACTGAAAAGGAAGCTTCTTGTTGGGGCTTTGACTGGCTCACCAGGCAAGGAAAATCACTATTGAAAATCAGACCATGTAAAAGACTTGGAAATACTCAAAAAAGAACAGTAAACAGAGGGGACAGAGAGACAGAGACAGAAACCTAGTCAGAGACAGTCAGAGAGACAGAGATAGACAGAGACAGCAGCCAGCCTCCAGGGAAGGCCCATCCAGGCTCAACATTTCTGAATAACCACTTGGGGACCGTGAACAGGCTAAGCCTTTCTGAAGATACTCCCTGAGACTGGATGGCCCTTTTGCAAAACTCCGTCCAAGTGTGTCTTGCTCAGCAGGAGGATGGCTGGGAGTCCCGAGGAAGCCCAGCTTCTCAGAAAGGTGTGGCCCGCGCCTCCGTGGCTGGCCCCGCCATCCCAGAGAGGTGATGGAGAAGGCCAGAGTTGGGGGGAAGGGAGGAGGGAAGGGAGTGGCTCAAGCAACAGCAAGACCCTAGCCCCAGAGGAGGGTAGGAAGGAGGGAGGACAGAGGGAGGGAGGGAGGTAGCCTCTCCGTGACTCATTCTCAGACCTCTAGTTGAAAAGCAGCTGACATTGCAAGCGCCCTCCCCTCCTAAGCCCTGGAAAGAGCCCCAGCTGCAGAGCCCGCCCGGAGCCTCTGAACTCCCTCCTCCCTCTCTCTTTCTCCTCCTCTCTCCTCATTCTCTCTGTCTCTCCCTTCCTGCCCACTGCCTCCCACTGTAACTCAGGCAGAAGGCAGAAAGCCAGGAGGCAGCTCTCTGCTGGGCGCTGGGGTTAAAGGGAGCAGAGCCCCCCGAGAGGAGGCAGAGTCCTTTCCCGCTGCTTGCTCTGCTCTCTCTCCCCGTCTTCCTCCTTCTCCTTTCGTTCCTTCTCTCCCCCAGCTCACCCTAGATGAGCTAGGGCTCAAGGCTGGAGAAATGAGACTGAGCAGCAGCAGAGGCAGTAGTGGCGGGGGGAGCCGGCTGCTCCCCTTTTTGCTCCAGGGATGTCTGCTCTGGAGCTGGGCAGCTGCGCAGGATATCGCCCAGAAAGCCATTGCCTTCCAAGGTAGGTCCCTGTCTCTGTCCTCCCACTGGCCTGCTAGGGCCTCAGCTTCAAGGGGCAGCCGGGGGGGCTCAGGTAGGAAAGCTGTGCTCAGGAATTAAGCAGTGCCTCTGAGGATGCTTAGGGCTCCCTGTCCCCTTCCCTCCGCCCTCTGGAAGAAGACCCTAACTCAGCTCCCTGCCCAGGTGGCCAAAGCTGCCTCCGAGCCTTCCTTTGAGGAATCCCTGGGTATTCACACAAGTGGTTGTCTTTCCTCTCCTTCCACAGGACTTAGCAGAGATAGCAGGGCTGGGAGAACGAGGAAGAGATCGCCAACCTTTGTAAAGAGCTCTGCAGATCTAAAGTACTATATCTATGCTAGCTTTTAGCTATGCTGATTAAGTATAGCAGGCGATTGAAGGTGATTTCTCTCTGGCTTCCCCAGTTATCTGAACTGGATCTTTTAAGTTTTTGCCCCCAGGGTAGTGGGAGATGGATGACCTCTGGCTGAGACCAGAGACTGCTGGACAAATCCAAGGGGAAAAGGCAGCTCCCTCCTAACCTTGTCTGCCCTCCTGATCCCCCCATCCCAGACCCCTGAGTCCCAGCCAGGAAGCTCATCCCACCAGTACAAATGACCTAGGACAGCCTGGGCCCCTTCCCACCTCATGGTCCATTGCATGGGGTATCTTAGTGAATCTGCTGCCTCATCTATCTTGAAGGTCCCCCTTTTTTTTCAGAGTTGGGATAGAAGCTTTGGATTTGGAAAGAGCAGTTGCTCAGAGCCTGGTGCATGGCATGAGCTACAGGCTGATGCTTCCCTCTTTCCCCTTGAGGTCCTCCCACCCTGCCAGCTGATCCCAGATCCTTTGGGGGGAGGCAGGAGGGCATGCAGGAAAGTTGTGACCTCTGACCCTTCCCTCCTTTGGAAACAGACTGCCCTGTGGACCTGTTTTTTGTTCTGGACACCTCTGAAAGCGTGGCCTTGAGGCTGAAGCCATACGGGAGCCTCGTGGATCAAGTGAAGGCCTTCACCAACCAGTTTATTGACAACTTGGTAGACAGGTAAAATCCACACTGGACAATTTTCTATTCATTTCTTCCTCTTTTTTCCCCTGGGGGCACACAGCAATGTGATACTGGGGAAACAGAGCTGGTCTGGGAGCCAGGAGACAGGACTGAGTCTGGGTGGTGCCCAAAGACAAGCTCCTTTCTCCTCTGGACCTCAATTTCCTCACTTGTCAAATGAAGGGGTTGGAAGGGTGAAGCCTCACGCAGATCCATAATCGGGGGTCTGATTACACTCAAACCCCACGAACCTTGACAAGGCTTCTTGCCTGGTCACAGAAAGCTGAAGGGTGTGTCTCAGGCTCCCCACTCCTGCCCCTGTGCCTGGCCCTATAGACGGTTCTCCGGGGATGCTCTGGGAACCTGGGAAAGGGTGGCAGTCAGCACCTGCAGTTCTCAGAGAGTCCTGAAGAGGGCACCCCTTCTTTAGCAATACTGGGCTCCCAGGCACTGTTAGCTGTCCAGCGGTCTGGTCTCTGGCTTTGGACACTTCTCTGTCCCAGGCATTCAATGACCAGGCTGGAAGCCTGGGGTGCAGAGTGAAGGGTGGGGCCGGATCCCAGCCCAGACTTAGAAGCGAAGCAGGCATGTCTCCTAGGGACATGACGAGCCTGTCTATGATGCCTGGGGCATCCTTCCTTCCTTCTTTTCCTTCCTTCCTTCCTTCCTTCCTTCCTTCGCTCATTCATATTTAGACTCCCAACTAAGGAGTTTATAGCCTAGGATGTAGGGATGACACCCACTCCCTCATAACTATGACACATAGTCCAGAGCCAGCGTGCTGCATGTAAAGGCAAAAGGTGTGGACAGGGGATGCTTCTCTCTTGTCTTTGGGTCCCTGGTGCCTACCACTGTGCCTGGCACATCAGGGTGCTGAAGACATGCTTGTTTAATTGACTGATTCTGTCTGCGGGGCTTTGGGCAAGTCACCAAGTTCTGGGCCTCAGTTTCACCCTCTGTTAAAGTAGGCTGGGTGCACGCTGAGGTCCCTCCCACCTCTCCAGCTAAAGTCCATGCTCCAGGCCAAGGGACCACAAAAGATGCCAGACACAGAAGAAGTTGTTTGAGCCCAAAGCAGGGGAGAGCCCTTCTGGCTGGCGGGAGGGTCAGGCTTGACAAAGAAGGGGCCTTGGAGCTGAAACGTATGGAGGCGACTTTGAGGGACAGTTTAATCATCCACACGGAAGGAGCTGTGCCCAGAGAGGCCGCCCTGGGATGCTCAAGCAGGAGCCAGAGACAAATCCGAGAGTCCCGACTCTAGCTCTTTCCTGAGCATGGCCAGAGAAGGCAGCAGTCTCACAGAGCCCTAAAGTACAGGCAGCACCCACTTTAGCTTGGCCCACTCAACTGGAGCAGCTGATTCACAGTTGAGACAGAAGTCAGCCGTTTAACTAGGTGCATTTTTAAGCACCTACTATGTGCCAGGCACTGTGCTAAGCTCTAGGGGGCAAAGAAAGGTAAGCAACAGTCCCTGGTGTCAAGAATCTCCCAGTCTTGGGGCAGCTAGGTGGCACAGTGGATAGAGCACCGGCCCTGAAGTCAGGAGGACCTGAGTTCAAATCCGGTCTCAGACCAAACACTTGACACTTACTAGCTGTGTGACCCTGGGCAAGTCACTTAACCCCAATTGCCTAAAAAAAAAAAAAAAGGAATCTCCCAGTCTGAGGGGGGACATCCAGTAAACAAGGTATGAGCCAGACTGGTGCAGGCTGGACTGGAGATGGTCCCAGCGCGAAGGGAGACAGAGGAAGGGAGACTCAGAGAAGGCTGGGGAGGACAGTACAGAGCAGAGGAGCAGAGACAATGGCCAGGGGGCAGGCCCGGAGCCCCGAGATAGAGGGTCTTGTTCAGGGAGCAGCGAGAGGCTGGGGTCACGGGGTGGAAGAGCACAGGGTGGGCAGTAATCTGGAAGAGGCCTGCAAAGGGAGGAGGGGGCCAGCCCTGCAGGGCTCCAAAGCCCACAGTCACATGGTGGACTGATAACTGACCTGGAGACCAAAGAGCTAGGGCCGGGCAGGCCTCCCCTAACTCGCTGCCTGACCCTACAAAAAGTCCCTTAATGACCTCCCCTGTAAAATGAGCAGGTACACAGCAGACACACAGGAGGATCAGGGGAGGGAGTTCTAAGGCAGAAGTCCAGAGCAGGAAGAGGCTTGGAGGCCACTGAGCCCATCCCCTCGTCTTCTGGGAAGGTGAGCTGGGGAGACAGGCCCCTGTTACCCCGCCGAGGAGAGACAGAGCTGGGACATGGCCACGCGGCAGCTTCCAGGCTCCCAAGGCCATCGCCTCCCTCCCCCAGTTCTCTGAGCCCCTACAGTATAGACTGTCCCCTTGAGGGGCTTCTGTTCAAGACTGGCAACAGGGAGCCCCAGAAAATGCAAACAAAATAAAGATCCATGTTGTAACGTAAAGACTCAACATTCACATAGGCACATACGTGGATATGCATTTGTGTACATAGATGTACATGTATGCCTGTTACATACATAGGACAGGGTCAGCATGGAGGGATCCAAAGGGATGTGGCTTCTAACCTGACCCTGGGGGCAGCAGGGCCACCCACAGGTGGATGTGAGGGTGGAGATCTGGGCAGAGGAGGGCAAAGTCCATTCTAGGCCTGGGAGGCAACTTGAGCAGAAGAAGGAAGCCAAGGAAGGGGAGGGTGAGAACGGATGGGCCGAGGATAGTCCAAATGGCCTGGAACAGAGACGCATGAAGGGCAGCTTTGTGAAACAGGACAAGACAAAGAGGCCTTGAATGCCAGGATCAGGAGCTGGTCCTTTATTCCACGGAAAAGAGGAAGTAACTGGAAGGTTTTGAGTAAAAGGGTCACATAGATGTGGTCACAGTGGAGCATAAGAGGATTGTCCAAGCATCAGAGTGGGGGATGGAATGGAGAGGGGAGACATCAGGAGCAGGGGTCAATATCACAGTAGTCTAAGTGAAGAGAGCGGGGCCGGGGCTAGTGTGGAGGTAGTGAGCCTGTAGGTGAAGCTCTGGATGCAAACAATATGGCTAAGGGAGGGACAACGGGACTATTGAGTTGTGAGGTAAGGCGGAGGAAGAGTCCAGGTGACTCCATCTTGTGGGCTTGGACTCTCTAAAGGGTGATAATGCCAACAACAAAAGCAGGCTAGGGAGGTGGCACATGTAGGGAAATGGTGACAAGTTCAGGTGCAGTAGTTGGCCATACAGACCCCGCTGTCCCAGGGGATACAGGACTGCAGTGTGGGCAGCAGGCTGGCACCGATGCTGCAGACGGTCACAGGGATGGAAGTCATCCCCAAAGCCATGGAGACCGATGAGCTCACCAAGAGGAAGGAAGGCGGAGCCTTGGGCGACACCCACTTCTAGGGAGCAGGAGACAAGAGACAGAGAAGGAGCAGTCAGGGAGGAGGAGCAGACTCAAGGAACACAGTCCTGCAGGCCAGGGAGGGGAGCTGCTGAAAGACAGCCTGGGCAGGGTCGTGGACTGGGACTGGCTCCTTCCATGAACACGTCTTTACTCTCCTAGCTAATCCCACCTTGACGTTCACCACAAAGCACAACTCAATGAGGAGATTTGTTTTGGATGACTCCCGCTCCCCTTTTGGGAGCTCATTCCCACTCCCAGTAGTGGCCCCTCTCACCCCCTCCCCCACCACTCTAAGCTACCCCTTCCCCCTCCTTATGAAGACCTGCTGTCCAGAAAGAATCTGACTTCAGTCATTTACACTTCAGTGTGAACTTAAGTTACTAGATTTGCAGTTTTGGCCTCTCTCATTATGGAATGAAGGACTTTGTACCTCCCACCACCACAATTAAAGGAGCCTGACATTCCAGTGAGGAAATGAGACAGGAGGTAGTTGTTTTCTGGGCAGGACCCTCACCACCCCCACCTTCCTAGCTATCCCTAAGGCTGGCCCTCAAGAAGCAGGGACTACAGTCCACCATGTGTGACTCTCAGGGTGGTGGCCTTTCTCCTTTCCCCCACATTGGGCCAGGCCCCTGGAGAAGAGAATCAGCTGGGCAAAGCTGGGAGTGAGGGGTGGGATTTATTCTTCTGGAGATGTTGAGGAACAATTTCCAGGTTCAGGCGGAAGACTGATAGGCTCACCTCTTGTGTGTTCTTCAAATTCCCTTCTGCTGTTTTCCTCTCAAGTACATGATGAGGCCAAGACCTCCTCCCACTCACTGGTTCACTCAGACTTGAAGCCTGAGTGACCACAAGCTCCCTGAGTAGCTAAGTCGGAACTGAGCTTTAAAGAAGAGAACCTGGCAGAGAGGGAGAGGGAGGGCAGTGAGGTGGGGAGGAGGTGAGGGTGGGCAGCCTGGTCTTGGGGGGGGACCGGTCATTTTCCGCCTCCACTTGGCTCGCAGGTACTATCGATGTGACCGCAATCTCGTATGGAACGCTGGAGCTCTGCATTACAGCGATGCTGTGGAGGTTATCCAAGGGCTGACCCCCATGCCCAGTGGCCGAGACGGCCTGAAGTCTAGCGTAAGCAATGTGAAGTACATCGGCAAAGGCACGCACACCGACTGCGCCATCAAGAAGGGGATCGAGGAGCTGCTCATCGGGTAAGTCAGGGCCCATGGGGCCACCAACAGGCTTGAGACCCATCCCGCGGCAGCTTCCGAGGCAGCCAGCCCGCCTGGAGACCCAGGTGTCTGTGGTCTGAGCTGCCTTGGGCTTCACCCCGGGGTGGGGGGAAGGGAGGGTCCTTGGATCCTCACCCTCTTTGGCTCATGAGAAAGTTACTCGCTGAAGAGCCCTAAAGGAAGCTTGAGCTTCACTGTGTGTGAAGGGCTGGTAGAATGAACAGCTGATGCCTCCCAGCTGGACCACCCAAGCTCCCAATGCCGCTGGTTCAACATCCAGAGTGGTCAAAGGGCCTTGGCCTGGTCAGTGAAGCAGAGGCCAGGGGGAGGAAGAGGACACTGGTGCTGCTGCCATGAGTCCCAAGGAGCCCCAAAGGAGCCCCTTCAGTCATACCTGCCTCACTCTCCCCTGTGGAGGTCCTGAATGAGGTCACAAGGCACAAGAATGCAGCTTTAGGCTGTCTTTGCAGCTGGCACACTTGGAATCCAAGCCCAGCCCTCAGAAAGACTTCCTGTCCTCAGTCTGGCCAGGTCCAAGTCTGCCTAACCACGCTCACATAGCCCCCATCTCTAAGAGCAGGAGAGATTTCCTCAGGTGCTTCGGCCATTCCATTTCTAGGACACGCCCTTACAATGGAAAGGAGCTTATTCCTCTATCCTGGCCTGCTCTTTTAGAATGCTCCGTGCTTGGAAATGGGTGCTTCATTTATCCTCACTGTCAAGACCAGTGACTGGCATGCAGTGTGCTCCTTGGTCGACTGACTGACGAATCCACGTTGGCTCCTAATGATCACTGCTTTCCCTTCTAAAGGCCCTCAGAGCACTTGTGGGATGTTCTAGAATTTCATCATGAATCAGAGTTATCTGCTCTGTGGTGTCCAGCCTCCTCCCTCTTCTTCCTTTTCTTTTTTTCTTTTTTGGAAGATTGGGTCACTCTTTGCCATCTTAACTCCTCCACTCATTTCCCAATACCTGAAGATTTTTCAGAAATAATTGGAAATGGCTCAGTCCCTTCAGTTTCCCAAGATGTGTTTGCCTTTCTTTGTATCCCTGGGACTTAGCACAGTGCCAGACACAAAGTAGGTGCTTAATTAATGCTGATTGACTTGCTAAGGTGGATCAGCTGCCTGGGCTTAGGGACAGGAACTTGGAAAGGGAAGCCAGACGCTTTCCTACCCCTCCTGACTGATCTTGGCTTTCAGCTCCTTTTTTGTTTCTCTCGTCCGGGTGAAATATATTCTCCTTAGTAGACAAAATAAGAATGACTTACAATGGAATTTCTCCATCTTCTTTCTGCTGCCCATTATTAATGTTCTATCCATCTGAGCAGTGGTCCTTTCTTTCCTTTGAATTTTTTAGCCCCCTCCCCCCATTTTTAACCTGAATATTCAGTGTCAGCTTTAGTTTAATGTGGGCTTTTATGCTCCCAACAGGGTTCTTAAGGTGCTGGGCTGCTGTCGGTATTTCTTGCCGAACCTTGACTCCAGAAATGTATTGTTTTCATGTAAATTGGTCAGAGGTTGGTCCCTGTGCACCAACACTGCTCTCACTCAACATCTCCCCCTTCCCTCCTTGTCAGAAGTGCTCTTGTCTAGGGCTTCATCACATCTTTCCAGAGGCTTATCATCCCTCATGGACCAAATGCCTTCAAAGAGCTTTGGGCCCAAGGACTTCACACCCCTTCTTTGCACGTTGGCATCTGTGCTCCTCAGTCAGGGATCAGGTGGCATCTGCTGGTCCTTCTCTATCACCAGTTCTAAGTGGGAGTGGCAGTCACTCCCCCCCTGTTGACACCTTTTCTACTTCAGGAGCCAATTTCTTCTCATAGGTCAGGATCAGGTCCAAAATAATAGGTCTTATTTTATCTTCTTCTACATTATAAAGAAGGAAATTATCATTAAGACAGGTCTAGAATTTACAATCTGCTCTGCTACAGAGAGAGAGAGAGAGAGAGAGAGAGAGAGAGAGAGAGAGAGAGAGAGAGAGAGAGAGAGAGAGAGAGAGAAGAGAGGTGGGGCTGCTGACTCCAGCAGAGGTTCAGTTAATCGAAGTTTCCCATTGATACAATGTCTCACTTCCATGGCAGGTTAATGAGTTTCCCAAACCTCCTTCTGTTCCAATGGTCTGTAGAATATTCCCAAGGTAATATGGCTTTTACTTCTCTTTTGATTAATCCTTGCTCACCACACCTCTCCCCTTAAGCTCCTGGATTTTCCTGAATGAGTATATCTCCTTAACATACGATGCTATTACTTTTTTTCCATTTCTTTTATCAATTCTGCTCCTAGTAGACAAGATAGCCCAACTGTTTGTCTAACATCCTTTCTTCAAATGAATTATTTCCAAAACTAGTGAGAAATTAGAGAGTGCTTCTGCCCTCCATGACTCAACTCACCTAAATCTTCAGGATCCTATTAAAGTCTCATGGTGAGTGGAATCTTTCCTTTCCCAGGGAATAGTGACAGCCACAGACACATCCTTTCTCTTCTACCACGATGCTTCTTAACTAGGTTATGTAGTGGAAACAATGCTGATGATTACAAGGTCTGGGAACGGAGAGGGGAGAACAAGGCAGGACATAAACTGATCTCCTTGGAAGACAAATAGTTGAGACAGTCACCCTTAAGGATTGCAAAATATTGGGACATTTTCCAGATTTTCTCATTAATTGGTAATTGCGTAACCACCCTATGTTTCAAGGCCTATCTCAAAAAGTGTGAATCAGCAGCTGAGCAATCTTTAATACAAAGGTTTTAAGGACCAATTATTGTTACTGTTATTCTCGATAGGGATGTGTATGTATGTGTGTGTGTGTGTGTGAGTGTGTGTGTGTCTGTGTGTGTGTGTATGCGCTCATGTAAGAGAGATAGAGATGGAGAAAGAGATGAAGAGGGAGAGCTTTAGAAATGGAAAGGAGGAGAGAGAGACAGAGAGAGAGAGAGAGAGAGCATATACACACTACCAATCAACCAAAAAGCATTTATTAAATGCTTACTACGCATTTAGCCCTGTGCTAGGTCTTACTTTTACAAAGAAAAACGTCCCTCTACACACACACACACACACACACACACACACACACACACACATACACACACACTTACACACATTTACACACATACACACATACACTTGATTGTCTCAATAACATGTAATTTTGCTGCTTGGGTCCACTTTCCCACGACATAGGTTAAAGCCTTCTGTATAACCAAGTATCCGGTTTGGGGGGGGGGCAGTCATACAGCCCCATCCAAGCCCACTGCTGAAGCCTCTCCAGCTTGGACAGACCCACCAGAGCTTGTGCCCAGCCAGCATCCCCTCCCTGTTCTCATGAGGCATCACAGAGGGCTGCACACTCACTCATTTTTGAGCCTCTTGTCAGATTTCCTGACTGCTCAATTAAAGATGTTACTGCCACATGAGCCCTCGGTGCCCCTTTTACACCTTCTAAGCTCATTTTCTCATAGGTAAATATAGGGCATCTTTCTAATACTCTAATGTTCTCCCCCAACCCTCCCCTGCCATCTTGAGGGTTTTATGGGTTTGAGCTGTCCATGGTTAGTGTTCCTTAGTGACAAGTTTAAAGGGAGCCCAGAATTATCATCAGGGATGGCAAAGGAAAGATGAGGGGAAGCTCATTTGGTCTGCTACCCCTCTGTTCCCCATTGTGGCCATGGGCTTGGGCACCTGGGCAGCAGCCTGGCCAGCCAGGGCATGGGGCCCTGTAGAAGCCCGGCTGCCTAGCTGGCTGGCTGGGTCACAGTTCAGGTGATCCATGAGTCGTTTGGGGGGCAGCCTTCACAACAGGCAGCTTCCCCCAACCTGGCAGCACCAGCTTGGAACACACCCTTGCTGTAGTTGCCCTTGGAGTTGGTGCGTTGGTCCTGGTCCCGGCCTGTGGGGGAGTTTTAACAAAAGCCAGCTACGCATCAATGGGTCTCTGCCCCTGACATCCTTTGAACACTGCAGAAATAGCAGCCCAGGTGGATCATAGAAGGTGCTGACCAGCCCCACACCCTAGCACTGCACCTGTGCTTTGGATCTCAAAGCTGCTGGGCCCTTCCCCAGCCCCTGGGCCTCATGAATATGTCTCTGAATCATCCCAGGGGGTCCCACCTGAAGGAGAACAAGTACCTCATTGTGGTGACAGATGGCCACCCCTTGGAAGGCTACAAGGAGCCCTGTGGTGGCCTGGAGGACGCCGTCAATGAGGCCAAGCACCTGGGCATCAAGGTCTTCTCAGTGGCCATCACGCCTGATCACCTGGTAGGTCCCAGCCACAGCCATGGGGTGAAAACTGGGACAGGGCCTGAGGCAGAGAGGCTGGGCTTGAGAGGGCCCTGTGCTGAAAGAGGAGCCACCCACAGCAAGCCAGGCACCTCCGTGCCTGTGTCCTGGGCCTCTGGGACCCAGCTGCCAGGGAGATGCTGGGTCAAGCATTGACCTGAATGCCAAGTTGGACCAGGAGCCAGCTAGCCCCACCAGGTCCCTCTCAGAATCTCAGTCTCCTCATTTATGAAATGCAGGGGGTGGGGTATGGTTGGCTTGGGGGCATGGTGTGGCGGGATAACTTCAGGTCGTTGGACTCCCACTGGTGCCTCCTGCCCCATCCCCAACTCCCCCAGAGCCAAGAGAGGGCAAAGCCCCCATGACCACACCCCCAGTATCTCATCTGGCTTCTGCCAGGGGAAGAAGGACCCAGCCAAGGGCTCTGGTCCTGCTGCAGCCCTCTGTGCATCTCCCTGAAGAACCTCCCGGGGGCCAAGGCCCCTCCCCTCCCAAACGTCAGCATCCACTCAGTGACTCCCCTTAGGCCTCCCCACTCAGCCCAGAGCAGGGGCAGATGGGCAAGGAACTACGTCTGCAGCCAGTGCCGACCCCCCCCCCAGTCTGGAGGAAGGGGCTGCCGCTCCTACCATTCCTTCTCAAGGAAGGCTCGGGGCCTAGAAGGGCCAAGTGTTTCAGCAGCAAAGGAACAATGGGTCTTGATGAGTCAGAGCAAGAAAAGAGCTTTGCAGGAAAGGACCTGGGAGCCTGATGCCGCAGTACCCGAAAGGGCACCTCTTGCCGTGGCTGAGCAGCTCTGAAGCAATAGGGCTCAGAGGCACTGAATCCCTCCTTGGCTGACAAGTTATTGTTAGCACCTCTGTGCCTTAGTTTACCCATCTATAAAATGGGAATCTTATCTGCCTTGACAACCTCACAGGAAGGTCAAAAGAATAATCATAGGGTTACAAAGACTTAGCGGCCACCTTGACAACTCCCTTCTTTTACATAAAAGGAAACTGAGTCCAGAGAGGTTAAGGCTCTCTCCCAAGGAGAATGGGTTCTGTTACAAGTGTCATTTTTAATTAAATTCTCCCTTCATCACCAGTTTCTTAAAAGCAAACATTTCTTCAGAACAGAAGCTTAGGAAAAAGAGGTCCATTTAGCAAAGAGACCAGAGGCCACAGCCGGTGAGGACATCACCTCCGTGTCTCAGTACAAAGTGACTTCCCTTGTGCCGCTAAAACATCACGTTCCCAGTAGCAGTAACTCAGTACAACCAATGATTGAAGGAGGATGGGGGTGGGGGATGGGGATGGAGGTAGCGGAGCAAATTGGGAAAGGTCCGGGCATAGATGCCCATCTCATCCACTTCTAATGCCAGGTCTACTCTCTACCCACCATTCTGGCTTTTCCCTAAGCTGGAAAAGGAAATTGGGCAGGAGAAGAAAGAGAGGAAGAAAAGGTAGAAAGGCAATGGATGAGTAAAGGTGGCTTTGGGGGTGGGCAAGAAATGGCCAAGGGGGTCTGGACCGTCAATAAGATGACAGAGGCATGCTAGGGAGCACCAGCCCCCTCCACATCCCCACCTGATACTCGGACCAGACCTGCAGAGGACGAGCTTGAGCTTTCCGTCCTTGGCTCGAGGCCATCGAAGGCCGAAGAGGGAGGCTCGGTCTCCAGACCCAGCCACTAGTGTTTAGTGCTGGGTCTCCCTCGGCCCCCATCTTTCTCGGTTGCAGGAAGCCAGGCTGAGCATCATTGCCACAGACCACACATACAGGCGCAACTTTACCGCGGCCGACTGGGATCTCAACCGCGACTCGACTGAGCTGATCAAGGAGACCATCGACACCATCATCAAGATGATTGTGAGTGGGCTGCTTCTCTTTTCTTTCTTGGATCCTCAGACGAGGCTTCCTGGCCTTCGAGCTGATGCAAAAGTGGAAATTAACCCAACTTGTCTATTTCCTATTTCAGAAAGACAATGTGGAACAAGTGGTGAGTCTCTCGTCCCCATCCTCCGCCATCTTCCCCTCCCTCTCCTCACGTCCACACCTGCCGCGAGAGCAGGCAGGCAGGGTCCTGGCCCTCTGAGGCAGCTAGCGCAGGGGAGCCCCAGGGGAGGCCCCGGCACGGCTGGGGGGACCGTCGGGGACAGTCATTAAGGGACTGTTCGGGGACCGGGCCGTCTCTACCTTCCATGTCTAACGTCTTGGGTCTGCCGCTTGCTTTTTCAGTGCTGTTCGTTCGAGTGCCAGGTAAGCGTGACCACACCCCCTGCCCATGCGCTGTTGGCTTCCGTCTCGGGAAGCAGCCCAGAGCTAACCGCACGCTCCTTCTGCTTGACTTCCAGCCCGCCCGAGGACCTCCTGGGCAGCGTGGTGACCCCGGACACGAGGTAAGGAGATGACCCCGGACTGCTCATCCCGCCCCTGGGATTCTGGCAGGGAGGCTGTCCCTAAGGGAACGGGCTCGTTCTGCCTGGACTCCTGTGACGGGATGAGGAACGATGGGGGAGCTCAGAAAAGCTTGTTGCTGATCAAGAACAGCTCCCCGAGTGGGACGGGCTGCCCCGGAACGTAGTGAGCTCCCCGTTGTCGGAGGTCTCCGGGCAGCCCTGGCGGGGTGTCAGCAGGACCCTGGTGCAGGTCTAGGCAGATCGCCAGAGGCCTGGGACTCTGGAAGGTCTCCTGGCCTCTTGACACTTTGGTTGGCTTTGTTTGTTTCAAATGTGTGTAGCAGAGACAAGAGGGTCCTGTACTCATTCAACAAACCTTTATCAAATCGATACAATGTGTGTGGTCTGGACGGAATCAAGGAAAAGGGGGAAACAAATTTTAGATAAAAAATGATGCCTGCCCTCAGGTCGCCTGCCTGACTTTGGGTGAGCCACATCCCTGCAGGAGCCTCAGTTTCCTCATCCGTAAAATGGGGGTGTCGGCCCAGCCCCCCAGCCCCTAATCTCTGATCTGGGCAGGGACGCTCCACTGTTTTCTTGGTAGCTCCCAGTGCCTCGCCCGGAGCAGGAGCTTCATTAATGCTTGTTGATCAACTGACCAACGGACACTTGACCAGGGCTGTGGTAGGGAGGTGAGCCACAGGTGGAGAGAGTGAGCAGACCGTGAGTGCGAGGGCATCACAGAGCTGCCAGACCAAGGCCAGGGCCCCAGGAGGTCTGGATCGGGTGCAGGATGGGGAGGGGAGGCCAGCTTTAAGCTCCTCCCCATTCTAGAGGTGAGGAGCCTGCCGCAGGCTAGAATCAACAGGACTTTTACAATTACAAGTTCCTGCGAGCCCCTTGGGAGGGAGCAGAGCAGGCTGGCCACTGACATGTCTTTGAGGGTGCATTTGAACCCCTGTCTCACCTCCACCTGCATTTTACCTTCCAGGGAGAAAGAGGAAAGCCTGGGCTTCCTGGAGAGAAGGGGGAAGCCGGAGAGCCTGTGAGTATCCAGATCTTCTGTTTGGGGACTCCGGGAGCTGTGGCCGCCGCTTCTACAAGAGCCTTGCTTCCTCGGTGCTCTGCACGGCCCGGGGGGGAAGGCCGCCCTCTCCCCTCTGTGGACCTCAGTTTTCTCATCTATAACATGACAAGGTTGGACCAGATGACCTCCGAGATCCCTCTCGGCCCTGGAGTCAGGATCGTATATATTATGCAAGGTCCCTCCCAGCTGTGCATCTCTGGTCCTAGAGTCCGCGAGAAGCATTGTGGCACAATAGATAGGCTCATAGACTTGGAATTAGGAAAATCTGAGTTCAAATCCTGACTCAGACATTTACCAGGAGTGTGGTCATGGGCAAGACCTGCCCTCTCGATTTCCTCATTTGTACATGGAATCCATAATAACTACAGGGCCGACATCATGAGGTTTGAGTGAGATGATATGGGGAAAACTCTTAGCAAAGCTTCAGGCCCTACAGAAACAGCAGCTCTTCTCATATTACTGCTCTAGGATTCCCGTATCCTTTGAATAGTAACAGGCCCCTGGCCATCAGTAGGGTCTCTGTCCTCCAAGACCAGGTCTTCCCAGAAAGCTGGAATGTGGGACAGGACACAGTGAAAACAATGGACACATAAGATGTTGGGAAGATTCTGAGCCTACAGAAATAAGCAGAGTTAAGCTAACAAAGGCTTCCTCTTCTCTGGGCCCTGGTCAGGACTCTGGACCTGTGCTTAAGGACCAGAGGGGACCCTTGAAAAGAAAAGAAAAGAAAAGCCCAGCCCCTATTGGGAAAAGAACACCCAAACAGTTTAAGGGTGTACCTGCTACACTGGCTTGTAGACAACTCATGGCCAATTCTAGAACGGTGATGCTCCTTCGGCAGGAAGAAGTGCAAATGCAGTCCCTTGCCTTTAGCAGAAACAAGTCAGGCCTTCTCACCATCCTAATAGCCATCCTCAGTGTCACTGGTAGGCAACCTGGAAAGGCAAGTCTTACCTGCAATGAAAAGTGAGCAGGTAACACGTAATGCTGATAGCAGAAATCTCAATCAATCTCAAGCCAAAGAATTGACAGTCAATGCCAGGGACCCTCTAGCACTTATAACCACTGAGCCAGGCGGTAGTTGTTCCCATGGGGCCTTCAGAGGTCTTTGAAGGGTCCTTTAGTTCTGACCATATAAGAGAGACATGGCAGAGAGAGAAAAAACATGGTGGACAGAAGCAATAATGCCACCTTCAGAGTCCTCTCCCATCCAGGATCTTTCCCACACACCAGGCAGACTTCATCTCTATTTGGATTAGGGGTGGGAGGTGGAAACAAGATGCTGAGCAGCTCAAGAATGCCAGTGACCACAAGACCTCCTTTCCATGCCAAGCCCAATATAGCTAGCCTTTCTAAAAGGTGGGATGCTCTGACTCAGCCTCTCCCACCTGGGAGGACCCTTAGAAATCCAAGTTGAGCATCCGCCTTCAATAAACAGGGTCAGCATAACAAAGAGCTCTTCACCATGCAGGTGGTTCCTGGGTAGAAGGGTGACTTTTGTCCATCCTTTTTTCATTTGGAAGCCTACTCATCTGAGGGGTGTAGCTTTCCACACATTTTACTAGATACTAAGTTATGTCTGCTCTTTCTACTCAGCCATATCCCATGATGATGCTTTTTGTAATCCTGTCTTGGACCTCTCTCTCTCACCTCCCTCAGAAACCACAATATTCAACTCTATGACCAAAGTAGCATCTCCCCACCCTTCCCCTTGCTCTCTCCTGGAGCAGCAACAGAAGGTTCCCTTCTCCTATGGAGGACACAACCCCATGAACTGGGTGTCCAGAGCACAGATGACCTCCTAGCCACGTAGTAAAGTGATTTAAAAAACACCTTATCTTTTTGTAAGACAAATATAGTGCTGATGTCTAAACCAGGGAAGGATAAAGCAAAGAAAGAAAACCATAGGCCAATCATTAATAATATTGATTCAAAAATAAGAAATCCAAATCAACTAGAACTCTTAGTTAATGTATTGTTATGTTGTTTGTCTTTTTCTCTATAATAGGGCTTGATATTTACAATGATGTCACTAGGTCACCAAAGAACTGCTCTCCACTTGCTAAAGCTAGAATAGAAACCATTGATTTTAGAATGATTTCCACCCAACGGTTAAATAATGATAAGCCCTCAGCCCACAAATTAAAGTAACCCTATTCATTAAGTATTTTGAGTATTAGTATTAGATATTAGATCTCAATATTAATTAATTAATACTATTTTAAATAAGTGTTAGTTGAGGTTTGACTCCACCATTATTCATTTGGCATCACTGGACAATAATGGACCACCACTTTTAGTCAGGTGCCAGCCTCTTCCTCAGGGGTTAACTGGTCAAGAACCCCACCTTGATTTCTAGGAAAGCTGGGTCTTAAGTGAGCAGCGATATGAAGATGCTTCCTCTCCAGGGTCTTGTATGAGGCTCTCTGTGGAAGGTTTATGATATGTGTCACACTCTTTCTCCCTAGGGAAGACAAGGTGATCTTGGACCTGTGGGTTACCAGGGAATGAAGGTATGTAGGCATCTCCTTTCCCAGAAGCCACCATTTCTTTGGTATTGTGTTCGCACTCCCAGTTTGTGAATAACCATTTCCTCCTTTTTTCATTGTGATCACTAGGGAGAAAAAGGAACACGGGGAGAAAAGGTAAGCGCTGAACCATTCTGTGACCCTCCTTGTCCCTGCTGGGCACGGCCCTGGGCGTGGCTCAGCCACAGAAGGCTCCGCATTGGCCTCTCAGAGCAAGGAGCTGCGGAGGCATCCGAGGCTGTGCTTGGACCCGGCAGCTCTCGTGCCGGCCCTTTCGGTCCCTGCCGGTCCCCCCACGTCCCCCTCATGGCTCAGCAGATCACATGCAGGCCTGAGGTTGGAGGGGATGCTAGGTCCGACCCCCTTGAAGCCGAGCTGAATCCAGATAAAAGTGAATTTGAGTCTCATTGCTCTCTTAAGATCCTCGGGACAAAGTAAGCCCATGGCTGCTACCTGTGCAACCAACCACCTGTGATGATGCGGTTCTCATGAGTGGAAAACGGAGGGAGATGAAAACTGGCAAAACTTCACTTCTCGCTTCTTTTCCTGCATTCCCCTTCCCTTCCTCCCAGTGGGTGATGGAGCTGGGATGTTTCCCAAATGTGTGCCAGTTAGAAGCCACACCATCAGCCGCCAAGGAGTGGGGAATACAGCCCTGCGGCTCACCGAGCAGGGCCGTCCTGCCTCTTCTCCAGGGGTGAAGGGGAAGAAAAAGGGCGA